ATGAAATGGCAGAGTGCAGGGCCGATAGTAGCCGTGGAGGAGTAAGGGTGGCGAGAGGGGATGGTTGATTGACAGCGAGGAATGAGGAATGTACTTTTGTGCATGGTACGCGCGGAGAGGATAGGAATGTGGGAATACTTTCAACAATGCTTATCTGGGGTAGAGAGAGGGGGGGATGGACTTACGTGGAATTGGAATGGATGATGCGTAATCGGATGGATGGAGAGTAGATAGGCAGACAATCTGTACTCTATACTGGCTTATGCATCTGCCTGTTGCAAGATGTTTCAGCCATCACCACGGATGTCTAGTAACTGGTACTCCATTAGGAGTTATAGTTATGTATGCAAGTACGTACTTCATGCCACGGAGATCATAATTCCCTATGCTAGTATACGTATGTCAGACACAAACAACCACCATGGTTGCATTACAGTATGTAGTAATTAGCAATTAGCAATTAATGGTATCATGAAATGATATGACAGCAAACCCCATTACCCATTATGACAAGTAGAACCACCAACTAGTGGATGAATTATTGAGAGACAAGCAACACAACGGCAGAAACTATCGAATCTTGTCTTGAATTTATGGAAATGACAATTGCTTCTTTCCTTCTTTTTTCTGCTGATTATTTCCCCTTCCCGTTGCGGATGGATTGGGTGGTGGGGAGGAGGATTTCCTAGTTTAGTGTCTGGGCTCCACCCCACCCATCCTTCTCCCCCCACCAGATACTTACTGGATTAGGACTAGTTGCCAGTGGTGGTGGATGGATGCCAAGGGGAAGGGAAGAGGGGATTACCAGTTCGTATGGTATTTATAGTATCGAATTCGCCAGAATTGCCTCGAAGTGTGTAATTGGGGAGTTATGTATGTATCAGATAGTTGGAGATGCCAATGCTGGGCAATTAACAACCCAATCCAACAAAGGAGAGAGTTTTTTGGGATGATAATGGATGGTGGAGGGTGTATCATCACTACTACTACTGGACTAAAAGTACTACAAGGTATAGACGCACGAGCAAATTCCCCGAGTGGCTTCCTTTCCGATGATCACTTCTACCCTTCCATCAGGGATAGGAATTGATGGACCGGACTATCAATTACTTGTGGGTGTGTATACTGGGGATATCACCTTGAATTATTCTACAGTATTATCTTCCATTTTCAAAGGGAAAATAAGATAATCGGTATTATCCAACGCCCCGCCGAGGCTGAGAGATTGTCGTCATCCGGTCCGCCCGCCCAGAAAAGTGAACCCGCCCGCTTGCGTCTTCGCGACCTTCTTTCTCTCTCTGTCCGTGTCTTTATCGCATGTACTCAGATACTAAATTAATATATTAACTCCCCCATCGTCTCCGCTGTTCCCGGACTGTCCCTTGCCCTGCTCGTTCTTCTCCACCTCTCCATCCTCCATCCTCCATCCTGTCCCTCCCTCCTCTACTCTCCTACTCTTCCCTCCCTCTTCCTCTTTTCTTATCAACTGCTTATCATGCCACTCACCATCCTCTCTCAAACACAACTCCGCTCTCTCCTCCTGTCGCTCTCGCGCGACCAGATCATCGACCTCCAGCAGAACCTTTCCAATGCTCTGAGGGACTACTCCACCGGTAGCCAAGAAAAGGGCTGTGCGGCCGCCTACCAACCCACGCGCACGGCCATTACCCGTCAGAATGGTTGCACCACTCTGTTCATGCCCGCCAGCACGGGTAACACCCTGGGCATGAAGATGATCTCCTTACAAGATAACGGTCAGGCCGGCTGCTCCGTCGATCCTGCTTTAGACTTGTCCTCCACAGCCTCCCGGACTTCCTCCTCCAGCCGAGTCAACCAGCGCAAGTCCATGTCCTCCATCTCCTCCGAAGGCAGTGAACAATCCATGTCCTCTCAAGAGGACGACGACCATACCTCCTCCTCTCCCTCCTCCAGCAGCAAATCCCTGACCCCCGGCTGCGTGAATCAGCAACCCATCGACACCGGTTTGTCCAACACCATGGGGGCTTGGCCCGCCGCCGGCTCCCGCGATACCTCCCCACAAGGGACGGTGACACTGATCGACGAGACGAGCTTACCCTTTGGACTGATCAACGCTCACGAACTCACCCCCTTCCGCACTGCTCTGACCGCCACTATGACCCTCAACAAACGCAAGCGCGTGCGGACCGTGGTGGTATTCGGAGCGGGCAAGCAGGCATACTGGCACATTCGGCTGGCGCTGATTCTGCGTGGAGAGGGCATCAAACGGGTGTATATTATCAACCGATCCTTTGACCGCGCTGCCCAGCTGCTGCGTGATATCTACAGCCCCGAAAACGCCAGCTGGCGCGGCGATGTGAAATTCTCCGCTGTCAGCACGGACTTTGTCGAGTACGACCGCATCCTGCACGATGCGCTGCTCAAGGCAGATGCGATTTTCTGTTGCACGCCCTCGACGGAACCGCTCTTCCCTGCACACATCCTCACGTCGCGCGACGGACGCCGAAAGGGCCGTCTGATCAGCGCGATTGGATCATACCGGCCGCATATGACGGAGCTGCCACCTGAGTTGCTGCGCGACGAGGTGACGGTGCACAGCTCGCATCGGCATTTCCACAAGCATGTGCGACGGAGTGGCGTGGTGGTTGTGGACAGCTTGGATGCGGCGCTGAAGGAAGCCGGCGAGATTGTGCAGGCGGGGATTCGGCCGCATCAGGTGGTGGAATTGGGAGAGCTGCTGATTGTTCGGGATGCGTCGCGCGGGGAGGGCGACAACAGTGAGGATGGCAAGAGTCTTCGGGACTGGGTGGAGCGCGGCAATGTGATCTTCAAGAGCGTGGGGATGGGCTTGATGGATCTGGTGACGGGCGGCGATCTGGTGCGGCTGGCGCGGGAGAAGGGAGTGGGCACGACACTGGAGGAATTTTGATTGCTTTTCTTTCTTTTCATGTAGTAATTACTTGAAACTCACGATGCGGGCACCGGGAAGGAGGTAATTGCTGGACTATGATATCCATATTAAATTCAATCATTCATTCTATCTTTATTCTATCCTATTGTTCATCCTCTTTCTTGAATCCTCATAATAATATCAAGTAAATTAGAAGTAAATCAGAGAAAATAGGGTAAGGAATGGACTCCCAGCCAATCAACTCTCCCAATATCAACTAATTTGCTGACCGCCCGGAACATGACATCAACCATCGTCTCTCTTTTCTTTTCTTTGAGCTTCATTTCTTGTTCTGCTTCTGCTTCATCTGCCTCAGCTCACTGCAACTTCTGCATCTTTCGTGCTGCCGCGGGGATCCATTGGCACCCCAGGAACATGTGGCCACCCAGTCGGACAGCACCCGAACTGGGCTGATCTATTTCCTGCAGCGCCGGTGAAAGCAAAAGTGAGTTTCCTGCAGGCGCCGCGCGATCGTCAAAAACCCAGTGAGGGGCAACTGCGCATCATCCCACACAAGCTCATTCTTTGCCCCCCACTGTGTAGATACTACGACTTACTAGTGACTATTTACTATTTCTTCTTTCCTGCCTCTTGCTTTCTCTTCCTGCTTTCTCTTCTTCCCCTTTCCTGCTCCAAGCCAGGTTTCAGTCAGCAACTATGCGCCATCACGTGTGCCATCTGCCCAACGGGCTGAGCTTCACAGTCTCCCCTGTCTTCGGTGGCTTCACCTTCAAATCCAACGATGTCAACTCCAGCCAGTCCATCGTGCCTCCTGGCTGGAGCATCGTTCTCGCGACCAACCGTCCCGACCCCGACACCACAGACACCAACGATGAAGAGCGTGGTCGAGCTCGCGGGACTGGCGATGATGAGCAACGTGCCCGCCTTACTCGTTTCACCACCCCCACCCTGCGCGATGACTCCCTCTACATCTCCTACATTGTCGACCCACCCAGCAGTGACTACAAGCCGGTCAGCTCCCCCACTCGCCAGATCGCCATGATGCTCTGGGTCACGCTGTGGTGGTACTTCCACGAACCCCAGCCCGACCGTCGTCTGCAGACTGACGCCTCCGCCAATACCCCGCCTTCTGGCCAGCCCAGAGGCGACTGGCGCGTTAACATCAAGCGCGAAGGCTTCTTCAAGGGTCGCACGCTGCTACAGAAACTCGAGCGCATGGGCCTCATTGCCTCCGAGGACTCGTCCGTCGGCGCTGAGCCCTATGACCCGCAATCCTGGGCCAACATGTTCGTCAGCCGTCGCAGCTTCTGGCAGATCGACCCCCGGCTGTTCGTCTTCACCATGAGCCCGCAGGCCATCCCCCAGTCGGTGTCCGGCTCCCCGTTTGTCCAGCGCGTGGCCTCGCCCTCGCGCGAGAGCTTCAACCTCGCCCACACAGCCGGCCAAGAGGTCGCACACTACGTCCCCAACGAAGGTCCCTTTGCCTCTACCAGCCATCTGCCCACATACTTCCCTCCACCTCCTACCCAATACACCTTCACCAACGGCATCCGACACCCCATCCGCCCCAAACCCCCGCACCAAGGCGACGTCTTCTACATTCGTTACATCCCCAGCGTGCAACAATACCTCTCCTTCCGCATCCCCTACATCCCCCCATCTCACAAAAACCCCGCCCCACGCCCCAATAACCCCACACCCAGCCA